CATGACAACACAGCGACATCTACTGTAAACTTCCTTTAAAGTTAATAATTCAAAGATAAAGTATTTGCGGCCATATGTTTATGTGGACTTTTCTCCTTGTTTTTGTGTGAGGAACTCGTCCCAAAATTTGTATAAGTATTTTTGATACTGTATATATATATATATATATGTGTGTGTGTGTGCGATATAACAATATCCGAAACAAAAGTGGAGATGATACGACAAAGTGAAAAACCTATACACAACCGAGTCTGTTGGGCCTGGTTTTTTCATGTCGGAATAAAAGACAAATGTGTCTACGGAAAATGCGTTTTATTTTTAGGATAAGAAAGGCCATGAATTAAATTAGATGTGTTTGCTTATATATATATATATATATATATATATATATATATATATATATATATATATATATATATTGGAGGCTTTTTTTGTTCTTTTCGGTACGGCTTTTGTTAATTGGTGGGGTACGCTATTTATGCTGGATTTTGTTTTGTTTTAGTAAATGCTGACACGCCTCAAACAATTTATTACCAATCAGTTTTCTTATAAGGTAGACACATCGTCAGCTGAAACTTTCGTGGCATATTGCTTGTATAAAACATAAAGCATTTTATCAACATCTGTTGGTTTATATTAACTTTGTTATGGGAACATTGATTTGCATAATGAAAATTAATATTTTATAGATAGATATGAACAGAATTAGATAGACGAAACTATACACGACGCGTTTCGCCGTCGTCTGTTGGGCTCGGCTTTTCATGTCGGAATCTATCTATCTATCTATCTATCTATCTATCTATCTATCTATCTATCTATCTAATTCTGTTCATATCTATCTATATTTCTATCACTCTCATTCTGTTCATATCTATCTATCTATCTATCTATTTCTGTTCATATTTATCTATTTATCTAATTCTGTTTATATCTATCTATCTATCTATCTATCTATCTATCTATCTATCTATCTATCTATCTCTGTATGTTCATATGTATCTATCTTATTCTGTTCATATCTATCTGTTTATTTATCTATCATGAACAGAATGAGATAGATAGATAGATAGATAGATATGAACAGAATGAGATAGATATATAGATAGATAGGCAGGCAGGCTTATTATGTCAATAGATCTGTCTATATTTATTTGTGTTTCGTCTAGCAACAGCCTGTGTGACTAACATCCTGTCCATGGCTACGGCAGGTGCCCTCCCCTCTGTCGCGTAATGTATTCGATCGAAATTGTCAAATGGTTTTTCTAATCGATATAATTATCTCTACCCTCAGTCGAGATTATCAATAATCTTTATTATTATAAAAAGCTGGCTCCATTGAAATTACATGCTTACATAATCCATCTCTCATGTATATTTCTGCAATGACTGTGAGAATAGGGTTATTGTAGGCGTATTCATATAAATTTACATAGAGAAAATTAATAAATAAATTACAGGGTGTGATGGATAAATTGTCACCATTTTATGTTTTTAATTTCGCGCATGCGCTTTGTTTGTTTTTGATTTTGTCGACTGCGCAGTATAGTAGGGTCAGTTGGGCACCATCTGTGAGAAAAAGAGCACTATGATGCAATTCAATCCACCAAAACGGCATGCTGTACTGCTTGGCATTCGAGCCAGAAGCTCCAATGCGTACATTTCAGAGTGTTTGGGTGTCAATCTGAGGACAGTGCAGATGATTCGGAAAGAGTTAGATGAGTCTAATGGTGATTACGAAGATGTGTGGAGCGACGTTATGCCCACATTCATCTTCCCACAGAACCTCAAACACAACACGGAAAGAGTTGGATGAGTCTAATGGTGATTACAAAGGTATGGCAGAATCAGAATGATTAGAGTGAGTTTTCTAACTCACTCTAATCATTCTAATAAGAAACGAACATCTGGATTTGTTGTTGAGGGTCTCAGATTCAACACGGAGGCCTACATCAAGTGCTTTGAGGAGGTATTGCTGCCCTGGGTCAAGAGGGTGACTGCTGGAAAACCCTATGTATGACAACAGGACTCTGCATCGTGTCACACAAGCAGGAGAACCCAGTCATGGCTGTCAGGCAATTTCTGCAACCACATCACCCCTTACATCTGACCATCTAACTCCCCAGACTGCAACCCTCTTGTGTGGGGGAACAGTTGAGCAAGAGACCAAAGATGAACTGAAAGCAAGGATTATGGCACCAACTTAAACAAGGAGACCGCCCAGAAGAATTGCAGGAGATTCCGAAGTCGTCTGTGGTTGAAGCCAATGGTGATTTTACAGAATACCTTTAATCTTTAGTATTTCAAGATTTCTTTGTGTAATTTTGGCAAATATGTCAGTGTTATTTTCATTTTTGCATAATTTAGAGGACAATTTATCCATCGCACCCTGCATGAGTAAAAAAAACTATTCAGACTAGAAAGAAAGCAAGAAAGAAAGCAAGAAAGAAAGAAAGAAGTATTTACTGTTTCCTGCAGTATATTTGCCATGTAAAGTGAGTGAGATCACCTAAGATGGATACTATCTGGTGATGGACACACTTCGCTGGAGTATGTTCAACAAAAGTTATCGAGTCTGGTTTTGTTTTTCTTTCTTTTTTTCATTTTTTCATCATTCCACCTGAAGCAAAAAAAATAAGCCACTGTGCGAAAGAATATGAGAAAAGAAGAACATTATTAAGAAGAGAGGACAATAAAAGAACGGATATTAAAAAAAAAACAAAAAGCTAATAACGATTGACATTGCATTTAATTTTTTTAAAATCAAATTTGATTGGAAAGATAGAAACGGAAGTGAGTTCAGCAAATGAGAAGTGTGAGAGAAGAAGAAGTTGTTTGATTGCAAAATGACGAGACTTTGCCGCCAATCGAGCAATGCACTTAAATTCATAGGTACAAAAATATACGTACGAAAGAGGAAAGCGAATCAGAACAATCACCATGAAAGTATTTATAGAAAAGGCACAGGGAAGCTACATTACGGCGGTTGGAAAGGGACTGAAGTCGAGATGTCAGGGCAGGACCGATAACATTGCAGATTCGTCTTTCTATTTTATCAAGAAGCTGTAAATATGTAGTAGATGCACCAGACCGGATGTGGTATGGCAGCAATATATATATATATATATATATATATATATATATATATATATATATATATATATATATATATATATATATATATATATATATATATATATATATATATATATATACATATGTATATATCACATGATATATATATATATGTATTATTTTAAGACATTTTTTATGTTTATATGTTCTTTTTATAGATACAAATATTTAAGTAAATGCTCTGTTTATAATAAACTACAATTCTCCATGATTTTCTCTCATACATTCATATCTGCTTGATGCGTATCCAAATGTAAACAAATGACGTCACACATTAAAATGGACAAAGTCCGACAATTATTTTAAGACATTTTTTATGTTTATACGTTCTTTTCATAGATACAAATATCTAAGTACATGCTCTGACAATTGTAGTTTAAAAACAGTAAAATCGACCTTGCTAATCGAACTCTCCCCTGTGGCTCATTCGGTAAAAGCACGTCAGGCTATATGACGCTTCCGTATAGGATATAGGTTCGATTCCTGTAGGAGGACGCATATTTTCTATGAGAATTTCTCGGACATTCAGGCTGGTAGATGTCGTTAATACTGTTTATTATAAACAGAGCATTTACTTAAATATTTGTATCTATAAAAAAGAATGTGTAAACATAAATCAATTAAAATATATATATATATATATATATGTAATAAAAATAATTACCAGCTAAATTACATCATTTTATACTTGAGCTGGCTAGATGTAACCGTAAGTTCTATGCTAACAGTTTCTTCTCTTGCATTACTTGCTTGTTGATCTCCCTCTCTCTCTCTCTCTCTCTCTTTCTCTCTCTCTCTCTCTCTTTATCTCTCTCTCTCTCTCTCTCTCTCGGCGTTTTGCTTTCCTGTCGACTATAAACTTAAAAATAAATTAATGCAACGTCAGTCATCATCTTCTGTCCCTTTAAAACCTATTCCTTTTTTTATTGCCCTGTTTTCTTACTTGTGCCGCAGTGGCTTTATCACCTCGCTTGGAGTAGAATAGTTAAAAAAGTAAATAAATATATTAAAATGCATTAATTTAAATCCATATTATTTTTTTATTATTTATTAAATCAAAACATAATTGTTGCTGTAAAAATATTTGATTCTTTAATACTAATCCAATGTATAGATGAATAGAATGATTGTGGATAGAACAGGATTCTCTGCCTAGAAGCTCAGATTTGAAATCCTGGCTTTCTGAGATACTTAATCGCTCTCAGACCGCTGTACAGTTAAGGTCTACAGTTTTGGTTTTATTTCCAGTTCTTCATAAGCGATTTTTCAGTTTTCTAGTTCGTAAAGTGTATTTTACAGCAAGTTGGTCGGCATACTCTTTAAATGTCAATGGGAGGGAGCTGTGTGCCCCAATCACTACCGGGATAACATTTTTCTCCGGTATTTCCCACTTTCTAGCAATGTCAACTTCATGCCAGAGTAGTTACTGATTTTTTTTTTATTTAATTTGCTGTTATGTTGTCACCAGCAAATATGACACAGAGATATTATTTGGCACTCATTTTCAGTTGTGTTGAGAACGACCATATTTGGTCTTGACTGTTCAATAATTCGATCTGTTTGAAAGTAGTTGGTCATGATCTAAATATGAATAAATTGTGCATAATCGATTGATTGATTGATTTGTTACGGTTTATCAACCTTCTGCAGGTTATTTAAAGCTAGAAAATATTTTTACATTGTAAAGATTATTTTGGAGATAATAAAAGTTTACTGATATGAGCTGTACTAATTAACAAATAGCAGCGAGGTGGCTTCATAGTTCTTTCAAGCGTATGAATATAACCTTCCCGACTGTGATTGGAACTCGGTTCTCCAATTTCCAATTCCAAGCCTTTATACATTACACCAACATCCCAACTTAAAGCACCTGGTATTCGCAAGCGGTCAGCCATCTCGATATTGTACGGGTTCAACGTTGCTTAACTTCGGTGATCGTACGAGAACCGGTGGTTCAACGTCAGATGACACAGTGTTGATAGCAGACACGGAAAGGAAACTGCAGGAATTCCCACAGAAGGTAGTGATGGAAGGCAAGAAGAAAGGACTAATCAAATCCAAGAAGACGGAATAGATGGTTGTTCGCAAAAGGGATAACCTAACATGCAAATTACAAATCGGATATTCGAAAATCAACAATTTAAATATCTGAGAATTGTTTTAACAGTAGACGCAAAATGCGACACGGAAATCCGAATGTGCATTGAAATGTCCAAACATGCTTTCGAAAAGCTAAGCAGAGTATTATGAAACAGAAAAAATATTGTTAGAAACAAAGAAAAGATTACTGAACTCTTACGAAATATCAGTACTCCTATATGGCAATGAATACTGAACAATCTACTCGCAGATAATGAAAACACTGGAAGCAACGGAAATGTGGCTCTACAGAAGGATACTGAGGATACCGAACATGTGAGCAACGACGAAGTTTTAGAGAAAACGGAAACAAGAAGAAAACAGAAATAAGAAGAAAACGTATGCTTAACATCAGGAAGAGACAATTGGAATTTCTGGGGCACATAATGAGGAAAGAGGGTTTGGAAAATCTGATACCCATAAGACAGATAGCGGGCAAGAGGTACAGAGGAATACAACGAATGACCTACTTAGTGAGCTTGAATAAATAGATGGTGCCAGTAGGAAAAGAGATCTACGGCAGGGGGTAGTCATCGGAAGGCCGAAAATAACATAATTTCTGTCTGAGATTGGAACTTGACCGCCCTAATCTCTACCTGCGTCCGCTTGCTTTAAAGTTTTTGTCAGAACCTTTAAAGGTTGCACAGTTTGGTAGCTAAAGAAAAATACGTCTTTCCTGCAGTTGTTTGCAAGTATGTCTAGTATTTTATTTCTTTATTCTCTGTAAAATTCCAGTTATTCGAGCTGATATTATTGCCCTGTTTTGTTTTTGTCTAAGTCAAATTCCATTTCAGGCCGGCTAAATCATTTTTCACTGGTCCTGACCGCTTACAAGGATATGAAATACATTTAACATACCTGAAATTCGAGCTGGTTAAACTTTCGAATCGGCACGATCACGACAATTATATCCGGTAGAGGAAAGAATTTCCACTTATCTTCAGTATTATTTATTTAGTTATATATATAGTCATTTATTTTATTTTATTTTAGGGTGGCTTACGTATGCGAAAGATGTTCTATTCCATTTGTAGGCATGATTGAATTATAAACACACGTTTTTCGATGACTACATGCTGAACCAAATATTTGTCATCAGATAAAGGGCCCTATATGGAAGACAACCTAACGCAATTTTAAAGCGGCATGCATATTTTAATATACTCATTTCTCTTTCAGAAGTATCAAGTGCATTAACATGCCAGCTTTCAGTCCATGCGAGTGGTTCTCATCCATGTTGGTCATCACGTCTTCGATGTGGCTTCGGAGGTGATTGCTTGTCCAGATCAGGCTGTCTTCGCCCATGTTGGCCATCACGTCTCCGATGTAGCTTCAGAAGAGACTGCATACACAGATGAGGGCTTTTTCGTCCATGTTGGGCATCACGTCCTCGATGTGGCTTCGGAAACGACTTCCTGCCCAGGTCAGGTTGTTCTCGTCTATGAAAGGAAAAGGTATATTGTGTTCTTTACTGTTGGCGCCAACTACAACGACCTCAACACCACCAGCTTCAAGAAAGGTTTCAAACAGACGTTCATTTTCATGGACTCCAGAGAGGCCCCTGAGCTAAAGAACACAAGGTTCATGTTGTCTGTGATGGTGGTGGTGGGGGAGGGAGTCAGGAGCGACAGCTACCAGGTCAATCCAATACAACAACCTACAGTTAAATACGATTGCCGAACTCTGGATGGAGAGGAATATCGTAGGTGTTTCAATTACTTACCAAATAGCAGTACGAGAATTCTTCAGACTTCGTATTTTTCTTTCAGAGATATATAGAGCATAAAGATGACATACAGTCGTTTCGAGGCCAGACCGAGAAAATAATGACGAACATGGACAAGAGACACCAGAACAGGTGCTTATGCAATCGTTTCCAAGGTCACATCAAGGACGTACATGGACAAGAATCAGTTGATTAAGACTTACAGTAGATTCTAGAGCGACAACGAGGACGTAATGAACTACATGGACGCGAATCAACTGATCTGGGCATGCAATTGCTTCTGTGGACATATTGAATACGTGATCACCAACATGGACATGAATCAATCGACATGGGTATGCAATTGCTTCTGGGGACATTTGGAGGACGTGATGACCAACATGGACAAGAATCAATTGATCTGGGTGAGCAGTCTTTTCTGGGGCGACAACGATGTGGTCATAATCAACATGGACGCGAATCAACTGATCTAGGCCAGCAATTGCTTCTGGGGGTATATTGAATACGTGCTCACCAACATGGAAAAGAATCAATTGACCTGGGTATGCAGTCGCATCTGGGGTGACAACGAAGTCGTGATTACCAACATAGACGCGAATCAACTGATCTGTGTATGATATTACTTCTGGGGACATATTGAGGACGTGATGACCAACATGGACAAGAATCAGTTGATCTGGGTACATATTTTTTATATATATATATATATATATATATATATATATATATATATATAAATGGTTGATTGTGATAGTCTTTATATATATATATATATCCGAATATAATGAGAACAAAAATAATATATAAATTCTAACATTTACAGAATTAATTGAAAGTAGGGCTCAATGCCGATAGGAGAGCAATAATTAAAAACTAAACGAAGATGCATCTTTGTCGTGAATATATATACAGGTAAGAATCCGTTAGTATATAATACAAATAAATCCAAATAATATAAGATATTAAAACTCATCCACAAAAAGAGCGCTATGTATTTATTATAACAGACCATAAATAATAGATAAATATAAAATTACCCATGAGAATAGTTGTTTCAACTAAACGTTACTACGTTCGCATATAATATTAGTGGTTAATATACGCATACATATATATACATATATCTAAATATATATATATATATATATATATATATATATATATATATATATATATATATATATATATACACACACACATACATACACATACATATATATAAATAAATAAAAAATTCCAAGAGGATAGAATACAGGACAGAGTAAGAATATAATAAAAAGGCTTAAACACTTGTACTCCATGGTCATCATTTTTTACATTGGAATCGTAAATACGATCTAATTCATTAGAGGTTGTTTTCAGACAATTCATGAGGCACCCATTTTCCAAGTTGTTGAAGATAACGATGAACAGTTGTATGGTTTGAACTGAGAATCACTGCTAATTCCTCACCTGATAAAGCAGGATTTTCTTCAAGGGCTGCTTCAAGAAGCTTTTCATCAAACTCAACTGGACGTCCGGTTCAATCTTCATCTTTAAGGATGAAATCTCCACCTCTGAATTTTGCAAACCATCTTCTGCAAGTTCTTTCATTCACACATTCATCTCCATAAACTGAGTGAATGTTTCTAGACACTTCGGCTGCTGAGTTTCCTTTCTTGAACACATAAAGCATTATGTGCCTCAAATGATTCTTGGGTACTTCCACATTAGCAGGGTTTTAATCAAACAAAATTTAATTTTTATTGTTCTCTGAAATAAAATTTGATCAGTTTAAATGCATCTAAACATAAAAATAATGTTCAGCTCCATTAGACATTATAAAATACTTTTTAAATTTCGTTCATTTTAACAAAAAGTTAAAATTCGGACAGAACTTATGGGATGACCTGATAGTTACTTGTTAACAAATAACACTAAAAATAGTTACAAGAAGCGCATTCGGATCGACAATTGTTTATATATATATATATATATATATATATATATGAACAATATATATATATATATATATATATATAAATTACCCCACTTACTTTCCTAAATAAAACGTCGCTAGAGGACGCTCCTTAAGCCTGTAAATAGGAAGTAACATTCTCTGTCAATCTCTTTTTTTTCCAATTTCAGCCAGAAACGGTAAGATGTAGGTTGCACGGAGATAAAAACGCTGCCGCTGAGGCATGTTCGCTTCCTTGGTCCTCTGTTGATTTTTGAACTCTCTCACACCCAAGCATTTATAATCATGTGTCTATCACACAAGCTTGTCACACTTGCTTCTACACAAACACCTTCTTTACTTTTTAAATGTTTTCTTCTTTCATATTCATCGTTTTGTAACACGCATCGATTTCCTATTGTCTATGTATACGTTTGTTTTGTTAACACATAATTATTGTTTGCTTATTCATATAGTTTTGTTGTTACTTTTTTATTTTATTACCTGGACTCACATTCCGAGTAACTTATTATTATTGTGGGATAAATACACCAGATGACACGTGTTTTTCTTTTCGATACAAGAAACACGCAAAATATATATATATATATATATATATATATATATATATATTGTGTTTCTTGTATCGAGGAGAAAAATATCGCGTCAAGGTGAACAATCTGATATGTATATATATATATATATATATATATATATATATATATATATATATATATATATATATACAAACTCAACTATGCATCGTTTAAATTCAAACCTAAAGCCAGTGAAGGAGAACTTTGAACAACTTCTCTAACTACTGTACCGCGCACGACGGACACTAAAACTTATATATATATATATATATATATATATATATATAAAGTTATTAACAAAAGTTTAAGACCACTTAGCTGTACCATGGTTACTTTCGTTTTATTTTTTTATTTTTTTTTGCATTACCTTGTATCATATGAGATTGCATGATGTAATAACTTTTTGTTATTACATCAGCCATTAGTTAAACGGGATTTATGTTCAAAATATTTGTCATTGGCAAATTAGCAGCCACTGGGATAGTATTTGTATAATGAATTAGTCTTAGAATAGGGGCAAGAAATCATCACTTCTACCTACACGAAGAATCCAAATTGTCATTCACACGATGAAGGCTATTCGGGACGAATTTAGTATAAAAGTTGATTGTGCCAAAGCAATTTTACAAAGTGCCGTTGTAAAATTCCAAAATTCAGGGACATTTAGCAACGAGCGGGGGTGGGGGAGAGAAGTGAACGTCAAAAGAAAACCACTGCTTGAGACGACCATTTAATGAAGCACATTGCTACCCAATCCCCAACAATAAATGCTACTCTTCTTGGTAATGGTCATATTCACGACGTTTCGGCTCTTGTACTCTCCGGTCTTCTTCAGGTGATTGGAATTTCGAACCGAACCCTGTATTTCGTCTACCGGGGTAGACTGTTCTAATTCCATATATTATACCTTTTCTGGATATCTCAGTTTACACTTATTTCCTTTCAGTAATGGTTCTGTTCGAAATTCCAACGTATATCACCTGAAGAAGGTCGCGGCGTACCACGGCTGAAACGTCGTGAATATGGCAATAAAGATGAGGACCACAGTCCGAACTATGTAAATACTGTAAATAGTTACAATATCTCATCTCAGAAATATAGATAGATCCTGAAGAAGGTCGGATATTACAATGGCCGATACGTCGTGAATATAGCAATAAAGATGAGGACAACAGTCCGAACAATATAAATAGTGTAAATAGTTGCAATACCACATCTAAGAATTATAGACAAATGGTATTAAAAAAAAGTCTTGACAAAAGAAATCTCGGTTGACTTATGTAAGAACATAATTTTCAGGTTTTCCCGCCACGTCAAAGCGGTATTTAAAAGCAAAGGAGACGAAACAAAATACTGACCGCAAAACCAGATTGAGTAAAGAATATCGTCATGTAAAACTTAAATGAGTCACTCATTACTCTAACGACATCCGGCATCAAGGCCTCTAATCCGGAGATTGGAGGTTTTGAGGAGCGTCGAATCATCTCTTAATTGTTGTGGTTCCCAGGTCCACCCTGGCCCTAGGGTGGTAGCAGCTGCTAGGGTCCCAGCAACACCCAAACTGGGGTCAAAACACGATGAATGTATAAACATATATTTTCATAGTAAAAAAAATTACCAATAATACATTTTTGTAAATAAACTTACTAAGAGAAATTACAAGAAAATTACATTTCGGCCTTAAATGACCCATAAAGTGTTGATATGCCGCTTAATAAACAAACTTCTTACTCTATTATTTGTATAGATATACCTGATGTGACATACACCCTTCTGCAAATTAATTGAGAAAAAAACGAATAATTCCGTTATTATTTACTTGTTTTTCGTATTTTTCATATGTTAGTACTTCGCATGTGCATTCCACGAAATTGTTCCTTCCAGATTGACCACAGATTCATCATTGGATTTAAATCAGGAGAGTTTCCGGGCTAGACAACGGCTGTAGGACAACTAATCGACAGTCAAGACAATACGTCTGAGCGTGATAAAAAATATAATGCAGTCATGGATGACGCAATATTTTTCAAGGTCAAACAAATTTCATCATACACCCCGAAAATAAATTCATATTACAGCACACTACTGCAAATGACCTAATCTGTGGAAAAAATAGAAATCGATTACACCCTGAAATTCCAGTGGGTCTAAAACTGGCCGTATGGTGAAAGAATGGAAACTAAAGTTGTTGTTTTAATTAATTTGCACAAGGATGTATACATTTAGCCATTATTCATTTTTATCATAAAATAAAAAAATTAGGTTTTGGTCAGTGAAAGTTTATTGTTTGATTGTTATATTTATTGGATATATTTTACATATATATGCAATTCAAAATGGCCGCTCTTTCTTGTCACCCTAGTCCTAAATCTCTTTGCAATTGAAGTACGCGACTTCTTCAATATCTGCACAAATTGTACCATGACGTCATAAGTGATTCTTTCACGTCTAACACATTTGAGAATGAGATATACCAAACTTTGCTCCCAAATATGCGTTATATCGCGAAGTCCATAGTATTAATGTCACTTACTTGTACTTGTACCTCTAACGGCATTCACCCGGGGTGTGTTGAGCCGGCACCAATATTGGAGTTTCATGGGAATTTGGAATTCACAAGCGGTCCCCAAACCCACATGTGTAGGCTTCAGATCAGTTCCTAGGAAACCAACAGCCCCACAACAGCACATGAGATTTGATTATAGTGGTGAAGGTTTCGTGCAGGACCATCCACACATTTTGAAGGGCCGAATACAGAGACCTGGTGCAGTACGTGACACAAAGTCCACAAACGACCCTCCGCAGGTTTTGAATTCAGAGTTTTCCTTCTCCTAGACCAGTTGCCATCCAAGGCTATAGAACCCAGTCTGTCCTGCTATTTACGCATAGCTGGAGGGAGAAGAAGAGGATTCACACCTTTCCCAAGGGTATTAGCACGTAAGTGAATGTAATGGATTCGACTGGAATTCGAACTCGGCTCTCCGATTCCTCAATTCGAACCGCTATCCATTACTCTACCGTGCCTCCTGTATTAATGTCAGGCAGGGCTTGATGGAGACGGTATATATATGATAAAATATAGGTTTAAAGTATTCTATATTTG